ATTCAATCTGTGCTCTGAACAAATAATCGTAGGAACTGAACTCTGTGAAGAGGAATGCAGAATCAGGATTGGAGAAAGACTCATTAACAACTTGAAATATATAGATGACTCAACTTTGCTTGCTGAAAGTGAAGAAGGCTTGAAGCACTTACTGATGAAGATCAAATACTACTACACCCTTCCATACAGATTACACCTCAACATAAAGAAAACAAAAATCTTCACAACTAGACCAATCAGCAACGTCATGATAAATGGAGAAAAGATTGAAGTTGTCAAGGATTTCATTTTGCTTGGATCCACAATCAATGCCCACAGAAGCAGCAGTCAAGAAAGCAAATAACATAAAGCATTGGGTGAATGTGCTGCAAAAGATATCTTTAAAGTAATAAAGAGCAAAGATGTTACTTTGAAGACTAAGGTGCTCCTGACCCAAGCCATGGTGTTTTCAATCATTTCATATGCATGAGAAGGCTAGGCAATGAATAAGGAAGACCAAAGAAGAACTGATGTCTCTGGGTTATGGTGTTGGTGAAGAATATTGAATATACAATGGACTGCCAGAAGAATAAACAAATCTGTCTTGGAAGAAGTACAGACAGTATACTCCTTAGAGGCAAGGATGGTGAGACTTCATCTCAAGCCTTTTGGACATTTTATCAGGAGGAACCAGTCCCTAGATAAGATCATGCTTGATAAAGTAGAGGGTCAGGAAAGAAGAGAAAGAGATACTCAACAAAATGAGGGTCTTGTTGAGGCTGCAACAATGGACTCAAACATAGCAAACATTGTGAGGATAGTATAAGACCAAGCAGTGTTTCATTCTCTTGTACGCAGGGTTGCTATGAGTTGGAATTTACTTGATTACTTAAAAACAACATTACTTCAGAGGGAAATTGTGAGTATTAAATTAGGAAAGAAGTATAAAATATTCAATAAAGTGTGAAATACACAGAAAATAGCTAATAAATGATAGATATTATCCTTGATTTATTTCTCTTTTAATTAGTTACAGATCAGGAAACAGATGCCTAGAGAAAAACTAATACAAATTGACCACTGATATGAGAAGTAATTCAGGGATTTAAAAACTTGAAATACCAAGGGCTTTCTCTAAATCCTTACATATATTCACACACACATACAAATATACATACATATATATGCAGGTATACATGTATGACAACAACAAGAAAAACACATTGCCATGGAGTTGATTCTGTTAGTGACACTTTAGAACACAGAACTGCCTCATAGGGTTCTCAAGGCTCTAAATCTTTAGAGAAGCAGAATGTCACATCTTTTTCCTGAACAGTGGCTGGTGGGTTCAAGAGCCAACCTTTTGGTTAGCAGCTGAGCACTTCACCACTGCACCACAAGGGCTATACATAGATATACTTCTTGTTGTTAGTTGCTACCAAGTTGATTCCTACTCATGGCAACCCCACGTGTGCCGAACAGTACTGCTCTATAGAGTTTTCAAGGCAGTGACCTTTTGGAAGCAGATCACCAGGCCTGTGTTCTGAAGCTTTTCTGGGTGGCTTCTAACTGCCAAACCATTCAGCTAACAATCAAACATTGAACCATTTGAGCCACATGATGTGGATAAATAGATAGATAGATAGATAGATAGATAGATAGATAGATAGATAGATGATACATATTTAAATCCATCTCGATAAATACATATATGTTTAAAATCTAATTCCAATTTCATGAAAACACTGTAAACTCATTACTGACTTAGTAAGTGACACAGGATAAATATTTTTTTACATCATGAATAAAGTACTTCAATATTTATAATTGCTCTTAATAACCACATACAAATATTTATTATAGGTTAATATAGAAAGCAAAGGTTAATATCTGTTCTTTGGAGAGTTTCACCAACCAAAATGAGCTCATCTCAAGGATTCATTTTTTGAAAGGGACAAATCCATTTTTTAAGAATGTTTCCCACTGAAGCAATATAAGTAGTGCCATTTGTTATGAAGCATAAGGGATTTTCTCTAATTACTTTTTGGAAATAAATATGATAAAAAATTATTTTGATGATGGGTATAACTCTGAGTAATTTGAAAAACTGATTAGCTCTTCACACTAAACTAGTTCTAACAGATATCTTTAGGAGTTTCACAATGATGCTATACCTAATTAGAATTTCACTGAGACCTGTTTCCAAAACTTCCCCCAGTTGATATCCTCTAGTTGATCCTCATCAGATCCAATCTTCTTTAGTCTTAGAAGTTTATTTTTCTTAAACATTAATAATTATGCCTTCCATTGATGTTTTCTTATCTAGAAAGTCTAGAAATTTTACTACTCTGCTGGCATAATGTCTAAGGTATTGGACTACTAACCAGAAGGCTGGCTGTTCAAACCCACCAACCATTCCTTGGAAGGAAGATTGGGCAATCTACTTCCATAGTGATACTGCCTCAGAAACTCAAGGCAGGGTCACTATGAGTCAAATCAACTCAATGGCAGTAAGTTGTTTTTTGTTTGTTTGTTTGTTTTTGGTGGACCAAAAATTATGATCTTAGGTACAACTGTTAGGAGCTTGTGATATGCTAGGTGTTAGCTAAATCTTCTATATGCATAGTCTCACCATATGCTCACCATAGCTCTTTGAAGTAGATTTGACAAGTATACCAAACTTCCTGTAAAATACTTCTGTTAAATAATTTGTCCAGTATGGGTCAGAGTCAAGTGTCAAGTATAGTTCCTTTCCAAAGCTCATGTAATAATATTGCCTCTGTAAATTCTTGACTTAATGCTCAACAAAGGTGAATTTGACATCTATCAAATAACAGTTTGTCTCAGTTTTCTAGTGCTGCTGTAACAGAAATACCACAAATAGATGCCTTTAATAAACAAAAAAAATTATTCTCTCTCAGGAAACAAAAAGGTCAAACTCGTCCTCTTTGAACATCTATGATCCCGACATTCCTTGATCTCCATGTGTCTTGGCATCAATATTTCACTGAGTCTCCGAGGCTTTCAGTATAGGGATGCTGATTCCAAATTATGTGCTCCACCCCTAATTCTTGTTTCTTGGTGGTAGTACGTATCCCCTTCTCTGCTCTCTTTTTTTTTTAATTTTTTTTTTTAAGATAAAAGGTAATTCAGGACACATCTTAGAGAAAGTAACGTTACATCAGATCAGGGCTATGACCTGAGTAAGAGTATTGCACCTCACCCTAATCTCCTTACAATTGATTGGCAGATTGCATCATATCACATGGTGGGCAATGATTACATAATTACATAACTGCCAAATTATATCATTATTTAACTGCCAAACTACAGAGAATCATGGCCCAGTCAAGTTAACACATTTTTTCTGGGGGACACAATTCAGTCCATAACAGAGCTATCATTCAGTTTGCCTACATGGCAGGAACTGTGGACTGTGATGGGGGAAGACAGAGATATTAAAATATATAAATCCGGAAATTTAAAAATGAATTAATTTTTAATGCATTGATCTAATCAAAGTATATATATTTAGTTTACAGGAAAGAAAAATGCCTCTTCACATGTAAACCATTTTTATGCAATGACATACAACAATCCAAATGAGGAATGGATGAATTGTTAGGATTATTTTTGGATTACTCAAGAATTTATCTCATCAAAATAGGGATTCTCCCAGATTTTTTAGATATTATCACTCCTCCATGAATTTAATTTGGTGTTATTAATTATTAGCTGTTTATAGGGGGAGTAAATGGATGAGAGAAACATAAAGTGAAATATTAATAGTTATTGCTAAAAGCTATAAGAAATCAAGATAATGAATAGCTGAAATATGATAATATAATTGAATCCTGACTTTTACCTATAGTTGAAGAGCAAGGCAGGCTTTATCTTTCAGCCACTAGTACTGCTTAAAGGATTTCTGGTAGCATAATGCCTAAGACACTGGACTGCTAACCAGAAGGCTGACGGTTCAAACCCACCAGCCACTCCTCGGAAGGGAGGTTGGACAATCTACTTCTGTAGTGATACCGCCTTGGAAACCCAAGGAGGGATCACTATGAGTCAGGTCCGACTCAATGGCAAACAACAGCAACAACAACAAGTATTGCTTAAAGTGCACAGCTGTAACCAAAAGGTCAGTGGTTTGAACCCACCACTCTGTGGGGAAAAAAAAAAAAATGTAGCAGTCTGCTCTCATAGACGTACAGCCTTATAAACCCTATGGACCAATTCTAATCTGTCCTATTAGGCCGTTATGAATAGGAATCACATCAATGGCAACAGATTTAGTTTTTCTGTTTTTTGCTAATAAAGTAATAATTACTTTAATAGGCCATCTCAGAAGTTTTCAATAGCTCCCAATAATCCATGTACAATTTGCAAAGAAGGTAATATTCCAACAAGTTTAGATCCATAGAGAAACAGTTTCCTGCAACATTATTCTGAAAAAGATGAAAAGGACTGAAGTCTAACAGATGGATGAACACAAACTTAATTAAGGTGAATCATGCCTCAGTGATATTCTTTGGGAAGAAGACTTCCAGCTTCATACACACCCACACATACAAAAGTAGTATCTTTTTAGGCAGGCAAACTATTGACAAAATTTGGGTACCTAATCCACAAGAATCACATTAATATATAGCAAGTGAAACACGTTTTCCCTTGGGCAAGGAGAGAGAATCTATTGCACATGGCATCTGTTCCTCTGAATACTGAAGATTGCAATTACGTTTTGATGTTAATCCAACAACTGCAAATTTCTTGTTGTGAAGCATACTGTGAGAATGTGAGTGACAGTATAAATCTTTTTAAATTGAATTCACACTATTGAAAAGCGCTGATGTTTTCAGACACTCTACAAAGCCTCTGAACAACAAGAATAACTCTCTAGATGAAGAAGCTTTCTCTAGTGACCTATTGAGAGAGAGACGAATAGCCCTGGATAAAAATCTCTGCTTGTCTGATATTTGTATGTGTGTGTGAGTATGTGCTGCATTTTTAGAAAGAATCACCTCTAATGCTTTGATGTCCTCATAAACGAACTGCAGAGCTGGAACTCCGAGATGGTTGATGAAATAATCAGCATCACCTTGTATCTGTACAGAACTGACATTCATTTCTGGGCAGTGGACTCTTCTGGTACAGTTGAAATTCTTTTTCTGAAAAACATAATTTAAATGATTAATACATACTCTAGTACTCAAACTCAAAAAAGCCAAACTCACCGCTATCCAGTCGATTCTGACTCATAGTAACCACTATTGGGTTTCAGAGCCAATAAATCTTTATACTCAGGCCATCTGTAAATCACTCCTCAAAATATAGTCCATGGATTGGCAGCATCAGTTTTGATTGTTCAAAATGAAAATTCCTCATCTCCAGCTTTGCTTGTTCAAAATGAAAATTCTTCATCTCCACCTCACCTCCTGAATGGGAGCATTTAGGGATGGGGCTCAAGAATCTGTAACATAACTATTCCTCTATGATTCAGATGCTGTCTGAAATTTGACTAGCACTGACCTAAGTAAGTTCTGCATATTATTGTTGCTTCGAAAGCATTTTTATCATAGATTGATTTTCAACTTTAGTAACTCTTAAATTTGAAAATGTTGAAAAGAATATTGGGTTTCTAAAAAGTTTTAGTGTTTTTTGGTTTGTTTTTCAGATTTTCTGAAAATATAAGGGATGACATGGCAGAATGTAACTCCATTCTTATTAAAATTTTATGGACAATACTAAGTTAATTTTCTCCATTTTCTCTTAAAAGCATATTTGTGATATCTTAAGCATACACGACAACAACTACACTGGGCCATAGAGAACCACAGAGCTAGTTGCAAATCTGGGGAAATATAAAATAATAAGACTATTATTTCTTAAACTAAAAGATACGTAACGTGCAGAACAGAAGTAAAACAAGACATGAAAATGGCCTCAAGCTTGGCAACGATCATAAGGACAGTACAGGACCGGGTAGCATGTCGTTCTCTTATACATAGGGTTGTTATGAGTCTGATCCAACTCAATAGCACCTATCATAACAATGTTTATATATATATATATATATAATCTAGAACCTCTCTGAGACATGTTGCTGTTGTTAGGTGCCGTTGAGTCATTTCCAACTGATAGCGACCCCATGCACAGCAGAACAAAACACTGCCCGATCCCGCGCCAGCTCCACGATCTCTGCTATACTTGAGCCCATCATCGCAGTCACTGTG